AAATTATACTCTCTCAAAAATACAATATAAACTTATGAATATGAGAGTATATAACTAGAAACACAAGCTCAAAGTGTGTATATAAAATTCAGAAATTTAAGGCTCTTGAAATAGCCAAAATATTGAAAATAATTAATAAAAGGATGAACACATTTAGATTAAAAAGAGAGGATGTTTAGAGCTTTGTTTCTTGAAGAAATATGAAGGATTAGGCTTGTATTTAGAGTAGAAGATGTTAATTAGCCGTTGGGAGGTGATTAGGGTTGATTTAATTCAAATTGGCAATTTTGCTACAGTGTTGTAACAGATCCGGTACCCTTCACGGTAGGGGGGTCCGTGTCACCCGGTACCTAGATACCGTGACACGGTATAGCCTACCGTTTGGGGGTACCGTGTCTTCCAAAAGTTCGGTTCGCCTCTGGCGGTACCTGGTTAGGACAGGTTCGGCCAACCGTCTACGCCTACCGTCGGTACCGTTACACGGTATGGGGGTACCGTGTAGGCGGTATACCCTACCGTGTGGCGTACCGCTAGAGGTACCGTGACTCTGTTCTGATTTTTCCAAAATTCCCTTAATCCTTCGTGTTTGAGTTTAAAACCTTTTAGATATTTTGAAAGTGTTTATGTGATGGTTTTAAACATATTTTGTGAGTGCTTTTGAGCTTGTGAATATAGGTATATAAAGTCATATCCTTACATTGGTTTCTACCTATATTCTACGCTAGTTTTAGTGTTTCGACTTCATTCTTGAGTACCGAATCTTAATGGATTCTTGTTTTCCTGAAACACTTAAACAAACGTTAAGCTCTTATATTGTTTGTTAACATCAAAACATGAGACTTAGCAAACCAAGGCTAACAGTATCTTCTTATGTGTATATTAACTTTATGAATTTGGTGTATTTTAATTTCAACACATGGATGACTTAGATATGTATCACATATATATTTTGGGATGATTTCAACATATGGAATAATATATATGTTCATGTACGAATGTGATGAATGATTCGACAAGTCTAACGCAAGGGTACAGACCTGGAAATCATAGGCCGAAACCTTACGGATGAGCGGGAGTGGAAACAACATCGAAATTCGCCAACTTTGTCATTCTCGTCACAATTGGACAGCCTGTCGTATTTTGGGCATATCTCCATCGTTTCTTCACGGAATTGCACACCATTTGATTCTGTGGATTCCTAAGATGTAAGGCTATAACTTTCGTATAGAAAGTATTTCGAGTTAACAGATGTAAGATAGCATAAATCGGACCTGAAGTCAAAGGATAGTTGCTGTCCAGAATTTCGGATATGTCGATGAACAATGATTCCGCGATTAACTCATTAACTTCAATATTCCAACACTGAACCTTCTCTACGATACCTTCCGGATGTTCCTAATAATTGTTAGAGAGTTTATGGTAAGTGTTTGGAATGAAACATCATGAATATGGTGAGGAAAATGGTCCAACCCGAGGAGCTCGCCACCACTGGCGCAGTCCTTGTATTTTGGCCATATTTTCTTAGTTACTTAATGAAATCGCGAGCCGTTTGTTGGGCTGGATTCGTATCGTCCGGGGCTACAAATTTGGTTCAGAAAGTATTTCGAGAATATGGATGGAAAATTTCAGTTTTACCTTAAAGTGGCTGCTACGTTTTTGAGCTTAAGATTTGGAAACTTTGGATGGTTTTCTTGCTTCTTCTCCTTCTTCCTTAACATACAACCATGGAGTTGGAGTTTTCTTTTCTTTTCTTTGTTGCTGCCGACAGAGAGAGAGATGAAGAGAGGTGGATGCATGTGGATGGATGATGGTGGAACATGATGATAATAATGATAATAGTGGTTTTGGGAGTATTATATAATTAGTTTGGAGTATTGTATTAATGAAGTTAGTGGAGGATTATAATGAGATTGTGGTTATCTCCTAGGTTGGCTACGTGATGTTGGGAGGGATTTGGGAAAATAAAGTTTTGGCTTCTTGCCAAAACTGAACAGTTTACTCCAAACGGTACGCGCTTTTTCGCCCAAACTGTTCCGAATTGAAAACGGATTGCGATTTTGGAATGAGACTGTCAAAACTATAATTTTGACGTAATCAAAATATTTTTCTGAGAACTTTTATTTTTTCTTAATGTCTGGGTCTGTCTCTGTCGTAAATTAATTTAATAATATGAATGAGATAAAAATATATGAATTAAATCCAAATGATAAATATGGTGTTGTCAAGTGTTAGAGATTAAGATTTCTAATCTTATGAAATCACTTTTGAATTGACTTTATTTTATGGGTCAAAGTTACAAATTTTAATATTTAAAACCGTCATAGTTTGAAATCTATAAATCAGATGGGTTCATAAAATGTACCGTTGGATTCATCTCTTCGAGACATATCCATAAAAATAAGTTTTTTAACAAAAAGTAATTATTTTGAAAGTCCATTTATTTTTGGTCAAACGTATAAATATTCCTTATTGGACAGAATTTACTTTTGTTTTATAATAAATTTTAGGCCATATTTTGTGGCGTTACACGACTATGGACATTCAGATAAATATTTATTTCAAGATGTTAGTCTCATCAGCAGAAAAAAACTATCTGATAAACATCTTAAAATATAAATCTAGGAATATAATATTTGTTTACATTAGCATGAGATGTGTAAACATATTATATCTGCCTATACATGATAGGATAACGATGAACAGTTGGCCATCAGGGCACAACTCCAACAACCCTGTCGTACTCCTACCTGCTGGACAGAGCTCAGCGAGAGGAGGTTGGAAGGGCCTGATCTTGTCCGTGAGACAGAGGAGAAGGTCCGACTCATTAAGGACCGACTTCAGACAACTTCAGACCGACAGAAGTCATACGCGGATCTGAAGAGACATGATATTGAGTACGCCGTTGGCGAAAAAGTATTCCTCAAAGTTTCTCCCTGGAAGAAAGTTCTTTGCTTCGGTAAGAAGGGGAAACTCAGTCCGAGGTTTATAGGTCCATACCCTGTCATTGAGCGTGTGGGACCTGTAGCTTACAGACTCGAGCTACCACCTGAGCTGAGCAAGATACATAATGTGTTTCATGTATCTATGCTACGGCGATATCGATCAGATCCTACACATATACTTCAAGTAGATTCAGTCACTCTAGACGAGAATCCCACATACGAGGAGGAACCAGTTGAAATCCTAGCCCGAGAGATCCGACAGTTGCGTAACAAAGAGATTCCATTGGTCAAGGTCCTTTGGAGGAGTCACTCTGTTGAAGAGGCAACCTGGGAGATCGAGGAATCCATTACTACATCAAAAACAGATGCTGACAACTGTTTCTTTTAGTAGTCTCACGGTGCTGATTTCAGTAGTCTTCCGAGCAGCTGTCTGATATATTTATAGACTATTGTTTAAAAACAGTTGTGTAAAATGGTTGACGACACCTGTTTTGTAATGTTTTAGAGTACGACTTTTCAGTGTTGTCTTTGTATGAGTAAGACATCTGTTTTTTAGAGTTAAAGAGAACTGTGATTTTTTGTTGTCTATCTATAATGAATATTACTGTTGTTTTTAACTTTAGACTTCTAATTCTTGGTGTTGTCGTTCAACAATATAGACATCTACTTTAAAAAGTAATTGAAAGATATATCAGACTGCTGCTCAGAAAACTACTAAACAAAAATGCCATCAGACAACTGTTATCTTTTGTTGTATTTCTAGAATATGGATTACTAACATTATTCTTATTCAAACTACTGTTTGTTTTAGTTGTATATTGATTATTAACACAACGGTGTTTTGTAGTTTTACTTGAAGTATTCAAACTATCTTTTATGACAGTAGTTGAATTGTTTATGAGACAGCTACTCTAAAGACTACTAAAGAAATTTGCTTCAGACAACCATTATTTCGCGTTGTATTTTAAAAATATGAACTACTGTTTTTGTAGTATTTCAAACAACGGTTTGTTTTGATCGTCTAAATGTTATTAATACTACGAGTTTGTGTAGTTGTACATATACTCTTCAAACTATTAGTTTGAATGGTAGTTAAATTTTTTATTAGACAACTGTTATCTTATGTTGATTACCAAATAAATATAAATTCAAAAAATACAATATATTGAACAATATATAAATTCATACATATAAAATACTATTAACATTTAATAATTTAATATTTACATCATCTTCCTTACAATTTGCATATTCTACATGCATGCCTTTTTTTAACCGGCTCAGAAACAAGTCTTCAGAGTTTCTGTGAATACACAGATCATTGGCAGTAGACTATCAAACATTCAGCTAGCTATTTGCCTTTTCCACGCTAAAACATAAACAATTTCCTTAAGCTAAAACTCATTCCTCTATCATGAGAAATATATAGAGTTTTTGTGCAACAGCAAAGGTCAGAACATCATCAGATTTGTTGAAGCGCCAACTACAAAGGGCTCCAACAAGAGCTTTGTCAAAAAGTAGAACATAACCCCAAGTTATGTTGGCTTTTCAATCCATCCTATTCCTCTATGGAAAAATCCAATACGAATCTGTATTTCACATCGGCTTTGGCTAGGCGTTCCATGGCGGTGTTGACATAGTCCATTGGCACAATCTCAACATCGAGCGTGATGTTATGTTAGCTTGAGTCTCCTTTAATTTATTCCAGCGATGCCACTTCCTGCAATCAATTTTCGGCCTGCGATCCACAATCAAAACATGAAATTAATGTCAATTAGTTCATTTTAGATCAATGCTAAGGCGGAGCAGAGATATGTACAACACGTGAATGGAAGTGTGGCTAATATTACATACCCATGATCAAGGGAAACGCCAACAAGTCAAGGGGTATCTCCGGGAGACCAACCAATACAAGCTTACCATTGGTCTTCAATAAGCTTAGTAGTGGCGTAAGAGGATGAACTGCAGAAACTGTGTCTATTATCCCATCAAGTGTGCTCCTTGTAGCCTTTTTTCCATACATACCAAAACCAATTATAAACCATATCATCATCAGAATTGTTAGCGAAATGAATAATAATACTCTCTAATTATGAATAAATTAATCATAACTTACCTGCATTTGTTCAGGGTCACAACTGATCAAGAAAGAATCAACACCAAAACGTTCTATGGCCTCTTGTTTTTTGTCAGCAGAGGTGCTGATGACAATAACCCGAAGGCTTTGGTGTACTTGACAAAAACCTTGGATGAGGGGGAGCGCGATGAACAAAGTGATTCTTTCATAGTGTGGGAATGGTCACATGTGTCATCATCCATAAGATTCATTCATTATATTATATTACAGTGTTCAAGCAACAATGATGGAGAACTTAGTAATTTGAATGCATAAACAAACCCACTGCCCAAGCCACAGACCAGTGATTCAAAGGCCATAGAAGCAACACAACAACTACTTCTAAGTGCAATAAACCTAATCATGCAATCAGTTGGGCATTCCACAAAGGTGGCAAATTCGCACAAGCAAATTCCCACAATGATACACCAATCTGGGCAGTCTAGAAAGGCAACAAAACCACGAGCAAAGTAATGTAGCAACAACAACAGGTCCCAAATAATACAGTTAAAACATTCATGAATTGTCCACAAGACATGAATCAATTGGGTAGGCCACAAAATCCAGCACCATACATTCAAAGCAAAAAAAGATGTTTGTTAATTCGTATTTTCCATAACAGCATCATGAACACCTCAAAAAACATAGATTGGGTTAAGTCATGCGCACTACCCTTTTTCGATTCAACGACAACAATCCACAAACCACAATCAATAATCACACAGATAAATCACATAAATCAACCACGATAACAATTATAAACGGAATTTCAAATCTAGATGGTAAGAGAGAGAACTTGACCCGAACGGAGTGTAGACGGCGTCACGCACAGTCCGGTATCGCTGCCCAAGCAAGCCCGTCACTGCCCAAGCCCGCCCGGATCTGTCATCGTTGCTGCTCGATTTCATCCTCACTGTCCATGGTCAAAATTCAATGCCCGAACCTCACCTTCATGGCCCAGAGGTCGCCGGAGTTGCTGGGTGACCACGGTTGTCAGTTCGCCGGAGAGTTACCGGCTCTCCGCCGCCACTGGATGCTGGCTGTTACTCTGCCCGAGCTGCTGGACTTCGCCGGAACAGAGGTCGCTGGACAGGGGGTTGCCGGCAGAAATTGTTGCTGGTCCACTCTGGTCAGTCATCGGCGTCGCTGCCAGAACTCGTCGTTGGATTGAGCGCTATCGCGTTGCTGATTTGCCAGAGAAGAATTCACTAGAGTTGATGCTCGGATTTGGCCAAACGTCGTCGGAACTCGCTGGTTTGAGGTTCCCAGAACGCTCCCCGTCGTCGCCTCTGTAGATCGTCATCGGTCAGACTCTTCCGCCTTGCCGTCGTAACCCATGTCTGCGAATCGAAGAAGAAAGTGGAGCGAGGACGACGACGGCGATTTCGATCGAAGCAGGCGAAAGATCCTATATATATACCCTAGGGTTTTTGTACTCTGTAATTTAAAATAACGTGTCTGGGTAAAACATACTTTTCAGTTCAACTTGCTCCAAATTGAGATCCGTTCACATTGTTGGATTCAATTTGTCGATCCTTACCCAACAGTATAACTTTCATAATCAATCAATAAGCATTTATAAATTTCACTTTGTCCGTCTTAATTGTTTTGCTTAACTAACACTGTTCAATTATTTACTTTAATTCTTTATATTTAAATCAGATCAGTCACCAAATATTGAGACGATTAGAATCTATAAAGTGTCTTTTAAATCTTTAAAAAAATAGAGTATCGTAAATAAATCATTTGTATTTATTTACTTATCGATTAACTTCTAGACCGGTTTTCAGGGCGTTATAAATGAAAATGACAAGTTTGAGATATAAGTTTCACTTATACCACTTTAAACTTGTAATTTCTTCAACACTAAAGCATCACACATTTAAATTTTTACATGCATCGGATCGTACCTAATTAGATCAAATCAGACAAAAACAGATCTACTCGGATCAAATCAAATTCCAAACCAATGAGATCAGATTAAATCTTCCAAGAAAATCTAAACTTTTATATAGGTTGTGTCCTATTTTCCTGATATAATCTTTAAATGCATCAGATCGAATCTAATTAATGAGATAATATCATACCAAAATCGATCCAATCGGATCAAATCAAATTCAAATCCAATAAGACCAGATCAAATCTTTAAAAAGATATATTTACTTGTGTACGTTGTGTCCTACTTATCTAATCTAATCTTTAAATGCACCGGATCGAACCTAATTCGATCATATTAGACCAAAACAGATCTAATTGAACAACCATGACCGGATGACTTAGGATTAAGCGAGTCATTCAAGCAAATACAAATGACATGTAGTGGCGAGTCAATTAAAACACATACTAGTGAAAAACATATATATCTTTGAAGGTTATCGGCGTTGGTTTTTGGCGTTCGAACCAACCAAGTGGTTTTCAACTTTTAATGATTAGTTTTTACTTCTGAGCATATTTAAATAGTTCTCCAAAAAAAACGCTTAAAAAACCACCTTTCGTTTTGGTCGCTTAGTGAAAACCATGCGAAACGGCGTAAACTTGGCTAGCCATGGTTTTCAACTAAATGACGTGGTTTTCAAAATGTTTTACTTGATTTATTAGCAAAATGCATTAAACAAACATTTTCAATACTTGGCTTTTATTTTGGAGAACTCACATTTTTGACATCGGCTAACGGCGTGACTAAACCAACCATGGGTCTGGCTAAACCAGCCCAACTGCGATGTTGAGGTAACCAACAGCGCTGTCTGGCTTGGGTAGCTAAAAACATGGTTTGGCGTTAAGTCCTCCAACAGCGATGTTGGACATTAGACATCGCTGTTGAGCCAAGGTTGGATTTCCAGAAACTTCTGCAACAGCGATGTAGGCTTCCCTACAGCGCTGTCCAACCTAAGCCAAAGATATTGTGCATTGGCAGAAAGTTTTTGGACAGCGATGTTGACCCAGAAACAGCGCTGTCATGCCAAACTTCCATCTTCAAAGGCAGACCTAAACAGCGATATTCTAGTATGGAACATCGATGTAGAGACCTGACCGTTGGAAGGAATTTAAGGCTAAAACTTTCCTTGTTTGGAAGTCAACAGCCAAAACAGCGATGTAGGGATTTTAGACATCGCTGTTGGCATGACCGTTGCTTCCCATTTTTCAAAACGCAAGCCTAGAACAGCTATGTCCAAGCCTAGGACAGCGCTATCTGGGTGAATTTTAACAGATCCAAATTTCATCAAATCCCACAAATTGTGCCAATCACCCCTTAAATACCTTGGTCCGTTGGAGCCTATTTTTCTACTATAAAATGGGGTGTTTGGGTCTGTTTTACATATCACATTACTTCACAACTCCTACTCTTTCATTGCAAATCATTCTTCAATTATTCATAGCTTTTGAGAGCCATTTTTTTGTGAAGCTTGTGTTGTGTTCTTGAGCGTTCTTAGTTTACTCATTATCCACTCTAAAAGAGAGTATTGTTCTTGAGTGTTTTTAGTGTTCTTAAACACTTGACAAGAGAAGGTATTTCTCTTTTTGTTCGAAGGAAGGGCTGTTTCCTTCGAAGGTTCGTTGAGGTTCGTGTGACTCGAATTCTCAAGTTGTACGGGTTTGTTAAGCACCGTTAAGCTTAACGAGGTAGTAGTGTAGCTCGAGAGAGTCTCTCGGGAGGCTGGATTAGCCACAAGTTGTGGTGAACCAGGGTAAAATCGGTGTGCCTTCTTACTCTTCTCTTTACTTCTCGTTTATTCATTTTTTATTCCTGCAATTTTTGATCAAACGCTATTCACCCCCCCTCTAGCATTAGTCTCTTATTCTAACAATTGGTATCAGAGCCTAACTCGCGTCCAAACTTAAGCGTTTGAGAGTAAAGCGATCATGGGCTCTTCTTCTAGAAATCTCTATGCGGGAATTGGAGAAGGTCAATCAACTTCTAGGCCACCACTCTTTGATGGCACCAACTACTCTTATTGGAAGGAACGGATGAGAATCTACATTTGTTCCACCAATTTCCAATTGTGGTTGGTGATCAAAAATGGAGATGAAATCCCTATGAAGAAAGTGGGAGAAACCACGGTCCCAAAGACCGAAAACGAATTTGATGCCGAGAACATCAAGAAGATTGAAAACTATGCAAAG